AGAAACCTTTAGGAGGTCAAATTACATTCAATAAATTAAATAACCTTATCATTATTCTAAAAGCTAGAAAGTTTTCAAAGCTCCTCATCAACTAAACAAAGTTAAAAATTTCTTAATATACAAACAATCAGTTTAAAAAACCAAAATCAATTTGCCTCCTACAAACTCTTGATTATATGAACACATATTAAACTTATAATAACAAAAGCCAGTCTATATAATCAAAATTAACAACACATGATGTTAACAACAAACATGTATATAAATCATCAAATTATGTGTCAGTTATCAAATTATATGTCAACTATGTATCAAACTATCTATTTACATGTCAACTGTAGCAAATCATATAAACAAATCATCAAATTAAGCACTATAACAATAGATTGAATATCAAAACATTAAAACATCTTCTTATATTAGCAAAACATGTGTTAAAACATTTTTAATATATCTTAATTTATTAAAACATGTCCAAATTTTTATAACAACTTGATAAAAATGTTACAAAGTACAAACAAACAACTTTTAACAATGGCAAACCTTACTGCAATACTAGTTTCAACAACAATCACATCTTTAAATCAATTTTCAACAAATCCAATATCAACCTTTCTTAATATTATACTAATAAAAAAAAGCAAACAATAAGTATTTATTATTTATTTAAATTCCAAAGGCCAAATTACAATAACTAATCCATCAAGCTCCTTTATTATTTCTTACCTGCCAAATTACATATATCTATTACCAATATAATCAAATTCAACTCTAAAAATCTTTTACTTTTCCAAATTGAATTTCACTTCAGTTAAAACAAAAAGTGTCTTACTACTTAAATATCAGTTTTTAAAGAAAAGTTAACCAAATATCTAGATGAATTTTTCAATTTCCAAAACTTCTTCCAAAGTATTTTTGTAAATAATGGCACTTTCAAAAACTCTATTCTACAATTGGTTCTAAAAAAAATCTGGAACTATTTCAAATATGTTTCTTGAAATATAACTAATATAATACGATTAACTTTAGAAGAAAAAAAATATTTCTCATTAAAACAATATACTAATAAACAACTAAAACCTTTAATACTTTCTTATGTTAGTAACAAGCACATCCTCAACAAAATTAGCAATTTTTACTATTCAAAATTATCAAATAAATTTCTATATAAACACAATTACAATAGAAATTATACATGTTTCCTTATTACTATAAAAGAAAATTTGATTGACAATATGATTCCCAATTAAATACAATTTCCAATTAAATACAATTCCCAATTACTTACTAATTGTTACTTAATAATATAAACATAATGTGGTTTTTGAAAAATGTCTGAATTAAATATGAATATAAATAATGGAAATCAACCAATTAGACTCCAATCTTATTGGAAAAGATCTATTATTTAAAAAAACAACAGCAATACTTATGAACCAATCAAATTAAAATATACTTAGAGAAAATAATTTTCCCAAAAAAGACATATATAAACCATTAGATCTCTGCACTTGAACTCTTTATAACTGAAAAACACAATAACAAAATCACATTCACAATAAACTTAAACTTCTTAATATCAAAAGATAACAAAATGAAAAACTTAATTAGTACTTATCAATACTAGCCTAAGGAAAGCATTCTTGTTCTGTCTCAACTTGATAGTATGGCAGGAGATATTTTTAACAAGACATATGATTTGACTAAGGTAAGTAATTTCTCTTTATTAATTTACTCTAGTCACTACTATCTGCCTTTTTATTCTCTGAAATAAATGCCAACATTTTATACTTTTTTATAAAGAAACTAGAAGAACAATTTAGAAACAAAATGAAAGGTAAGGAAATTTCTATTACTTTCTAATACTATTATCTAATCTAACATTAATTATATCATTATTATTTTATCACAAGCACCAGTTTCAGATTTATTTTTTTACTTTTTTTTTCTTTTCACGATCCCGTGTCAATTGTTGGTCATGTGACCCAAATCATATTACATTGTTTTTATTCTCTCTCTCACAATGATTCTACCAACTCCTTAAATATATCCAACAATAGGATTCTTATTATCAAAATCTTTATTCCCTATACTTCTGGCTACTTACAAAAACCAAAACAATATAACCAATCCAAGAATCTTAACAAGGTCCAGGCATGAAAAGATAGCTCTCAAAAAAGAAAAAGAAAAAAAAGCCAAACTCAGATTATACAAGTTTAAAGAAGACCAATTCATTCAATCATTAACCATCAAAGAATATGACCTTTCAAATACCAATTACAATAACAAAGATAAGAGTAGCAGTTATATCTCTCTTGAATTTGTTAGTGAATATAATCAAATAATTTGTTAAACCTCTAAACTTTCATTTATCAAAAACAAACTCAATAAACTTACAAACTTATTATCGGATATTATTTAGATATCCAAAAGTCCAATCAGGCAAAAGCCACTTTTGAAAATTTTTATAAAAATAAAAGTATAAAATAAAGACTTCTTTTTTTTTTCCAAAATAAAAAAGTTCAAAAGTACTTACAGTTCTGGTAAAAAAAAATAGCACTCTTGATTTTTTTAAAAATTAAGTAATTAGATCACAAATTCCATTACACTATTGACAAATTTAATTAATAACCAATTATTTTAAAGTCAAAAAAAAAAATTGTGCTACTTAATATGATATATGGTTACTTTGGCAGAGAAATGTCTCGTCATTAAGTCTTTGTGAAAGCAAGGACTTAAAAAAGTCAGCGAACTCCAAAAAATAACCCAATATTCAAGAAGAACATTATTCAGATGGGTTGCTCAGCTTGCCCAAACAGGTAATCTCAAGCAAAGGCAATGTCCAGGCTGCCCGCATCAACTTAATACAGCACAATGAAAGCATCTTGGCCTAATGGTCACAAGAAAAATTCAGATGACAAGTTTGAAACTAACAAAAGTACTCAAAAAAACTTACCTGAACCTTACTATTTCTCCATGCACGGTACGTGATAACCTTCAAAAACTTGGTTTTAAAGTCTGTGTTTCCAGTACAATTCCTTTTTTAATAAAAGCTATGAAGCTTTATCAGCTTGAGTGGGTCAAATCACACTTGAGGAGACGATAAAATAATACTATTTTTTCAGATGAGATAATGTTCCAGATATTTTGTAACACAATGCAGGTTTGATACAAGTCTGAAAGATTACAACCAAGTCATGGATTGGTTAAGTATCCTTATAAAGTTTACATCTGGGTAGCTTTTTGTGCAAGCAGTATGATAGGGCTTCATATCTTTACAGAAAAGATGAATGGCAAGCGATATCATAACATTTTACAAGAAAATTTGTTCGAACAAGCATATAACAAGCTCAGCAGCATGTGGACCTTTCAGCAGGATAATGATCCAAAGCACATTGCTAAGCTTACGATTGCTCTTCTTCACGAATGATGCCTGCGGGTTCTCGATTGGCCATCATTGTCACCAGATCTAAATTCAATCGAGAATTTATGGGCAATAATGAAAAAAAAAAAGTAGAAAAGGAAGTAAATATGCTTATTAGAGAAAAAAAAAAGTGATATAGCAAATGTTTATATCTATAATTGCACAGGAATGGCAAAAAATTAATGTCACTATATGTCAAAATTTAGCAAAATCTATGAAGTGACGGTTAGAGTTAGTCATACAAAGCAAGGGTGACACAATTGACTATTAAAAATGAAACACTTTATAAGTTATATTTTTAGCTAGTTGTAATTAAAATTTTATTAAATTTTAATAAAAATTGATTAAATTATGATTAAATATATAAGTGCCATTTTTTTTTGCTGGAACTGTATATACACAATCTTATCCATTGTTTTTATTGTTATCTTTACACTCAATAGTTTTGTTACCGCAGAAGAAGATATCATCAATAAAAGAATTCTTAAGTGAACTCGATGAAATATATGGTGAAGGCATTTACACATAATTTGAAGATTCCTTTATAGAACAGGAAATGTTAGTTCCATTTATTTCTAAACTTACTGATACAGAATTTGAAAAATTAGATATAGAGAAATTCAGATGGCGTAAAGTCCTGAAACAAGCTGCTTTAAAATATGTATAGAATTGATGTTAATTTCTTTCTGAACTTACTGATACAGAATTTGAAAAATTAGGTATAGAGAAAATTAGGTGGTGTAAAGTCCTGAAACGAGCTGCTTTAAAATATGTTAGAATTGATGATAATTTCTCAAGTTTATCTTTATAGATATTAATAAATTGATTTATTGAAATAACCATAAGCCATTTCTGATGTGATTTGTGCACATGCAAATAGCAATGGATAAGTAGTCTTTACAAGCATTTGTAAAATTATCATTTCTCTTGAGCCAAGATTTGATAGTTGAGAAAGCTAGTTCAATAGGGTTAAAATCAGGGGAATATGATGATAGAAATAAGACACATCCTTCTAGCTTCTCAATAATTAATACCTATTTAACATTGTGATGAATTCTCACATTATCCATCACCAGAACACTATTCTTACTAGGAAACAGATTCATATGGGGACCTATAATTATAATTAGTAAAACCTTCAGTTCTTTAGTTTAGAATTATAACTAATATACATACCACTTGGGAAAGTATAAATTCTTCAAACTTCTTTTTGTTATAACTTTCCTTAATAATCTCAGCAGTAATGATCCCATAAAGTGTCAGAGCAGGCAGTATAAAATAACGTTTGCCTCTTACAAATTTCATCTTTAGTTAAGCTTTTGTATTCACATGCAAATATTTATATCTACGAGAAGCAGTATGTTCATTTTTAATACTCTTATCAACAAAGATGAATTGTTCAAATATGTAACTGGAGCCAATTTCTGCAATAAATGTATTACACAACAATTCATTTCTTTTTGCTGCTATCTTATGAATCTATATAATATACAAACAAAAAATTGATGCAAATAACCTACTAATTAATCTCAAAAGAAATTTGTTAATAATTTTTTTCGAGTAATTCTGCAAAATTTTAATGAATGCCACTGCCTGTTCTCATCTTCATTTCTTCAACCAATTCATTCAAAAACCAATCCACTTTCTCATTAACTAGTCCTTTCAAAACCTATCATAGAATATGCACATAAGATTTCCACCAAAGACTCTGATAGCATAAATAAGAACAAACCATTTGCAGACCTTTATATCAGTACTTCTAAATAATTTCTTATGACCAGAAAGGCCTCTAAATGGATTTTCTATACAGTTCCATTTTTTAAAGTTCCTTAATATCCTGCAAACGCCTGAATAACTTGTATAAAGAAGTTTACTGATCTTCTGTTTGTTATAACTATCTAAATACAAGTAGACCATTCTCCATTTCAAATCTTCACTAAATGAATGACCCATAGCTACCTGACAGTACTTACAAAGAAAAACATAGTTTGTAAACTGTTTGTAGTCACCTGTAACCATATTATTATTGTTTGTAATTACCTGTAATCACCTGTAATCACTTTTGTAATCATCTTGTAATCTTCTACTAGCTTTTTACTAAGGAAGCTGTAACTTGGCAGTTAGGTTTCTATAAGCTAAAGGAAAGTTGCAATGTCCTAACTAGAAGAGTTATATTTGATAATGTCGTTGGAATTACAAATAATCTATACAAACATAATATCATGCATCCTGTGGACAGGGTGTCACAGCATTTTGAAAATCGCATTAAAATTAAAAATATTGAGTGAATAATATTGCCTTAAATATTGAAAGCTATAATACTTGTTAAAACAAGTACAAGAATAAATAAATTATATTTTCGTGATAAGTTATTATTTTTTGTTATTTTATATAGTATTTTTTGAATAAACCTGATAATATAAAACTTTTCAATTTCTGTAATAATCATAATAAAAATTTATAGTAGTTTTATATATTGATCCAAGATAATAAGATTTTATACAATTATATATTATTTTTTTCTTTTAGTATATTTTGATCAATTTTTATATTTTTAATTTTTTAAACTTTAGTATTATTATAAATAATCTATTAAATAAGTTTTTGGCATTTATAAGTTTAGGATATTATATCTAACTTTCACCTTTCCAATTATATTTGTCAATTTTGTAAGTGCCAAGATTGAAAAGAAAATATATTGTTATATCTAATACCATATTTGAAATTATTATCTAGTTAGATTGGTGTTTATGCTTATTTTTCTGATTCTATATACTATTGTAATTCTGGCTATTATAATTATTATTAACTTTAATATTATTTATAACAGGTCCAATTAAATTAGTAGTATTAACTTTTATTTCTTAATAATAAAGATTATATAATTCTATATATAAAGATTACTATTCAGACCTATGGGTCTGTAGTGTAGTGGTTAACACTCCACAGGTCAAATCACAAGATACCAGTTCAACCCCATGTGAGGGCAGTTGAATAGAATTAATATGGTATCTGGCACCATAACCTGTTAAGTACCATTTCTCATGAGAAGTCGTTTCACATGCCAATCCAGTGGGCATTGAAATTGTGATTTCCAGAAAAGGTGTTGGGGCATAACGATCATTCGGTTAGTGTTACGATAATCATTGCCAAGTTTGATGCAATTCCCAGTTCCACAATAGACTGTTTTTCTTTCCCTATAGTCCACAAGATTATAAAAAAAATACATTATAGAGGGCCACAAACAGGAGAAACTAGACAGCAAGACTATAAAATGACCTTTTCTTCCACATGAGTTATGACTTGTCAACAATACCCACCATTTTTACCTATAGTGAAGGTACTAGTTGGTAAAATTTGTCAGAATGGAAGACTTCTCTTAAGACTTAGCCCGACTTTAGAAAAGTTGCATCCTCTTAAATAAGCAGCTTATTCTTGAAGCCTGGCATTATTTAAAAAAGATTGGATTATCAACTTCATAAGATTTAAAGGTATTGAAACAATTTCTGATCAATAAGGTTCCATTCACTTTCTAAATGGTAATCCTCCAGGCTTAGTGCCCTAAGAAGAAAACTGAAAAAAACAGAGACATAATACTCCGATGAGTAATCCATATAGTGTTAAAGAACCTTACTGAAAGGTTTACAATCTTGTGGCTGAAAGATGTAAGAAAATCTTAGGTAACAAGTTGTACCCAAACGGCTTAGGCCCATGAGTAGATTCTAGTTTATATATAGTGTTTAATATAGATTAACATTGTATATACCTTGTATGTAATGACTTATCTATAAATAAATATGAACTAGAGTGTAGTCTCACTTTAGCATTAAAAAAAAATAAAGATTACTATTTTCTGTAAACTGAAAAGATCATTAATATACATATAAAAAAGAACCTTTATATGACAAAAATCTTTCTATTGAAAACTATTTATTAATGGAGATATATGAAATCAAATATACAGTATATAATATTTTTATTCTTATATTTTATCCATCTTTCTTTTATTAATTTTTACTGCAGGTATAGTTTAAAAAATAAAAGATTTTGCAATTCTGTAAAATGATTCCAATATTGTTATAAAGACAAAACACTTGTTTTTCCGATTTTATTATTATGCCTATTGTTATTACTATTATAAAACTATGATTCCTTTTCTTATTAAGATTTAAATTGGGGAAATTTTAACTAGGGCTTCTAATGATACCACTTAGATACCACTTCGATACCACTTTGATACTACTTCGATACTTAAATTTACTATAAAAACATATGAGTAGGTCACAACCCATATATTAAATTTACTATAGATCAGTACCATTTCGATACCAGTTCGATACCAGTTCGGTACTTTTTCGGAACCCTAATTTTAACTACATAAGCATAATAATAATTAAGAAAAAGATAATAAGTTTCTTTGATAAAGAAATTATATTCTGTTATTATATGAAGAAAAGTCTTTAGATTGCTTTAATAATTAAGTCATTCAGTATATTTTGATGAAAAGATTTATCCAATACTTCTGAAAAAACTAAAGATTATAATTTATCATTATTAATATATTTAGAAATTTTTTTTTATAATGATTGGCATACATTTTGTTTATTGAATATTATTATGATTTCTTTTACAATTTGTGACAAATGTCAGACTTTATTTATTTCCTAAATTACCTAAAATAAAAAATTATTTACCAGTCAGCTTGTTGTCCTCTATATCTTCTATATTATTAATGCCAAAGCCTTAATAGCATAGGTAGAGAACTAACCTGCCAGGATGTGCATCTCTAAGTCTCCATTCATCAGATGATGAATAGGAATTTAGAAGACTATCCAGACATAATCAGCTATAGACTAGTTATATCCCATTGACTCTAACTAGGTCTATTAAAATTAAAAAAGTAAAAATGGAGATACATGTGCATGTTTATGTGTGAATATTTATAATAATCTGCAAAAAAAACCCTTAAACCTACAGGCATATTTGTGGAACTACAAAGGGAGAAAAAACTACTTATTGTTCTATAGTAGATATTTTTTTATGATAAAAATCTATTCGTTATATATAAAGCCTAATATATTTATTTTCCACCATATAAATATTGCAAACCAATACAGTATAGTGAATGTAAATTACATTGCTCAAATTATTGTGATTTAAAATTTTTAATTAAATTTATCAATTTGCTTACAGATAATATAAATAAAAATAACTTTAGAAACATTTCGTAATTTTTTTACAGATTTACATTGCCAAAAATTTGTTTTAATAAAACTTATACTAAATTGTTTTTTAATTATAATCTTCCGTGAATTTTATTCGTGTGATTATATTATTGACTGTTGGTATCTTGCCTTATTAGTAAAAAACCTATTTTACCCTTCTAACTTGGTTAATAATAATTATATAAGCATAATGCAGAATAGCAATATACATTGTACATTTATGCTAAGAAATTTTTACAACTTAAAAATACTTCCATTGATGTTTACAAGAACACTAATATATTTTATGTTATTTTTTCGAATAAAACATAAAGACCAACAAAAACAGGTAAAGTTCATGCATAACGGATGAGAAAAGACGCGCCGTTTAATTTCTTTGCCATCTGTTAATTATTAAAATAATTAAACACTATCCATCTTTTTTTCATAATAGAGTCTCTGGTTATGAATTTGAACATATAAATAAGCCACAAATGCAATAAAGAATTTACAGTATTTTGTTTATTCACATAAAAATAAAAGTAATAGTTATTAGACATCTACACCTTTACTTTTTTGTGTGTACCTTTAAAAAAATATCGATTGGACATAGACCTCATAAAATATATTATTTAACCGTTTCTATAGACCAACCGGCTCCTTAACACAATACCCAATAACGTCAAGCGACCGTATAAACAGAGTACTAAAAAGACACGACAAACGCATGTGACAGATGTCGAATTTCACATAGAATGCAATTATAATAAAGTTATTTCAAATGTACAAGATGTTAAGAAAGGAAAATAGTCACTTTTTATTTGGCAACTAAAAAACGCGGGCCCAAACAAAAGCCACAAAAACCGTTTTACGAAATGCCCACGGGAATTTCTATGCTTGATTATCTAGAGCAGTACATCCACCAAATGCATAGAAACATATAGGCTCTCTCTATGCTCCGGACTAATAAAAATCTTATTCTTGATATATGTTTTCTAATAAACTCTTACCATTAACAAATAAGGAATATTTGGAACAGATATTTTTTGTTATTTGTTTTCAAATTATCATCATAGAAATTCCCCACTGTCTCATCGTATCTTTCTAATAACTCTACACAAAGATAACCTTGAGTCTCCACTAAAATATGAACGTATTTAGAGAGTCACCACGAAAAAGTGCACACATTAGATACATACTCGAACAGGGGTGGTTTTTGATGATAGACAAAGAACGTGTAGAAGATGCGGGTGCATTGGTTTATCAAATCTACTTTTTTTAATTAAGATTCAAATATAAAATAACAATTAAAATTTTTTTATTTGAAAACTTTAAATCATGAAATTTTACCAAATTATGTGGATTCTAGATCATATAACATTTTTTCGGTGTACTGATCCACGCTTGAGAATAGGTCCGAGTTTTGATCCAAATACTGTAAGTATTAATGATTATAAAGTTAATGGAATTTATATAAATGCGAATGATAATAATACAATAAGAAACCAAAATAATATTTTATACAACTCGGATTTCCATCTATCAATAGAACATTCTTTGAATGACTTTACGGCTATTACCTGACCAGGTGTCATCACCCACTTCACAGATAAATTTGTTTGTAAAAACCAATTTGAAAACTTTATTCTCGGTCCTAAGATCTTTACATCACCAAAATAGCTCTTTTTTTGTCAATCGATACTAAATAACTTGAATTTTTTTAAATCATATGCCTCGGCAGGTCAAAAA